GCAGTGGGGGTTGGGGGGCTAGGGGGCAGACTAGGTTAGGTCGAGTCATGAGCGAGGTATGGTAACAGGTGAGGTGTGGTAACAGGTGTGTTGTCTGATTCCCTCCTCTCTCTTTCTCGCCCCCTCCCCTTCTAACAGCCTGAAGGAGGGAGGGAGCATGGCGAAACAGAGGCATTCCTTCTCTAATCTCCCCCCCCCCTTCGCTCCCTCGTCCTCCCACTTCCCAACAGCCTTGGCATCATGGCACTCTGAACGGCTATGGTAGGTACAGGTAAGGAGGCATGGGGTGAAGGGATGGGGGTGGGTGGGGAGCATGGGAGCAAGTGGGCAGGTCACTGCCTTAGGGGCAGCATCCTCTGGGGTTGTGGCTTGTGGGTCGGGGTGTGGTGGGTGGAATCTGTGCGGCACGGCACTCGGTGCTCAAGTAACCGATATGGCGTTTAAGGCCTAATGGACACCGTCAGAGCCGACCGGCCGGCGGCTCTGGTTCGCGTCAGCTCTGGCTACGTCAGGGGTGGGATTTGAGTCTTGGGCTGGAAGCAATTTTCCACTACCACACTTCGCCCCACAAGGCACCGCTCCTGGGCGTGCTGTTTCCTAAAGGAAGTGGGCTTTCTGCTGCTCCTACTGCTGGCAAGTGAGTGTGGGGATGGGCTGGGTGGGTGGGTGAGAGGGAAGGGGGCCTGAAACCCCTTGGGTGGTGAGTGGGGCCTGAATCCCCTTGGGTGGTGAGTGGGGCCTGAAACCCCTTGGGTGGTGAGTGCGGCCTGAACCCCCTTGGGTAGGTGAGTGGGGCCTGAAACCCCCCAGTGTGAGTTGAGTGAGGGGCAATGGTGGGGGCCTGAATCCCCCAGGGTAAATGGAATGAGAGGGCGAGGAGAGAGGGGGGATGGAACCCAGGGTGAATTGATTGAGGGGCAATGGTGGGGGCCTGATAAGGGGGTTGAAACCCCAAGATGAGTTTTTGTGAGGGGCGATGGTGGGGGTCTGATTCCCCCAAGGTAAGTGGAGTGAGAGGGCGAGGAGTGGGGGCTAAAACCACTTGGGTGGGTGATTTGGTGAGCGGGGCTGAAACCCCTTGGGTGGGTGAGCGGGGCTGAAACCCCTTGGGTGGGTGAGCGGGGCTGAAACCCCTTGGGTGGGTGAGCGGGGCTGAAACCCCTTGGGTGGATGAGCGGGGCTGAAACCCCTTGGGTGGATGAGCGGGGCTGAAACCCCTTGGGTGGATGAGCGGGGCTGAAACCCCTTGGGTGGATGAGCGGGGCTGAAACCCCTTGGGTGGATGAGCGGGGCTGAAACCCCTTGGGTGGATGAGCGGGGCTGAAACCCCTTGGGTGGATGAGCGGGGCTGAAACCCCTTGGGTGGATGAGCGGGGCTGAAACCCCTTGGGTGGATGAGCGGGGCTGAAACCCCTTGGGTGGATGAGCGGGGCTGAAACCCCTTGGGTGGATGAGCGGGGCTGAAACCCCTTGGGTGGATGAGCGGGGCTGAAACCCCTTGGGTGGATGAGCGGGGCTGAAACCCCTTGGGTGGATGAGCGGGGCTGAAACCCGTTGGGCTCAGACCTCTTGGGTGGGTGATTGGGGAGGTAAGGAGGCTGAAGCCCCTCGATTTGTTGAGTGGGAAGGCAAGTGCCTGAAACCACTTGGGTGGTGAGATGGGAGCGAAAGGGGCTGAACCCTTTGGGGACTGAGTCCTCTAGGGCGGTTGAGTGGAAGGGAAAGGGGCTGAACCCTTTGGGGACTGAGTCCTCTAGGGCGGTTGAGTGGAAGGGAAAGGGGCTGAAACCCATCCCATGCCATGGTATGGGGGCAATGGCCGCCCTGGCATGGCATGGGGGCAATGGCTGCCTTGGACCGCAGTTAACCCCAGATTCACTTGGGCTATTAGCTGGGTGATTGATAGGTTCAGGTGATGGCAGCAGGGAAGTGATTCATATCATCAAACCCTTTTTTCAGAAGCAGTTTCGCTCTTGTGTGGGTCATGGCATCAATTCAAGAGAGGCAAATACTCATGGCCAGTGTGCCTCATCGTGATTCTTCTCTCCCTCCTACAAGCATAAAGCATCTCCCTCCTACAAGCATGAAGCAGATGCTCGTTGTGGTTGCTGTTTAAGCACCAAATGCCTTCAGAAAAGTGCAGGGGAGAGTAAGATTTCAGCGATACTGGGAGGATTTCTGCAGCTAATTCGGAATGGCCCTGTGAGTTTGGCTATTTCATGTCTACAACACCTCTCTTCCTCCCCCTCACTACCCCTCCGTAGAAATTTCTGGGCACTTTTACTTCTGCTTGCATTTACTGGTGATAAGGATCGATAGGCAAGTTCTTGGATTATTTGGTGGTGGTGGTGGTGCTGCTGCTGCTGCTGCTGCTGTTGCTGCTGCTTTTAAGGCCCTCCCAGGCGGCTTTATGAGCTGGTGAACATGTGAGCATGGTGCTCGGTGGCAGAGTACCACAGTAGCAGCTGCACCAGACCTGCTGAGCCGGCAGCAGAGGGTTGAATGATGGCAGCAGGGGGACACTACTAAGTGCCTTCCAACCAAAACATTTGAGTGTTTTTTGTGCTCTTGACGAACATCAAAAGTGAGATGCTTAAGATGAGATGTTTAATGATATGGATTTGTTTCCTTGTGAATAAGTTAAATTACGCTTGTAGCATCAATAGCGGATTGGTACGGTTCGCTGTATCCAGTATTAAATTATTCCGAAGCATATTCCTTGATCCTGACGCTCCAGTTCCGTAGGAGTATACGTGGCAGGTCCAGTGGACTTGCCTTTCAGACTTGGGAAAGTGAGCCTGCTGGTGGAATTTAGAAAACGCCCTCCCCTAATTCCGCCGCTCTCCTCCACCACATGCCTCCGTGACCCCGTCATCTAGCAGCCCCGTCGACCGTAGAGTGCAAGCCGCCATCGAACAAGCAGCAGGATCCGTTCCGTTGGTGTACAGAATTGAATGTTCTCGAGATTGCCTTGCCTGCAGGCCATGTGTGGCACCTTCACGGAAGGGTGAATGATAAGGATTGCGCAATGAATCTGGCTCAAAAATCAGTCGAGGGAAATTCGACTGTCTGGTCCTTCTCTAGGGGCCTTTTTATGATCGGGGCCACACCTTCTAATCCGTTTCCAGCCACACATGAGCAGAGCCTTCGTTAGACCCACACGCACATCGACCACGACTGAAGTTAGTGAAATACCGGAGGTAGATATACGCGGATACCATCGCCTCTTGATGAGTCGAATGTCAACGCCTTACACATTACCGAAACAATTTCCCTTCCGCAGCTAGCTATCTGCCATACGTACCCTAGGAGAGAAACATACGACACAGGACGACACAGAAAGTCACAGGACGACACAGGACGACACAGAGCGACTCAGAGCTCAGTTATGTCCGGCGTACAACTGTCGGCCGGCGAGCTGATCATCGTGATAGCGTGCATGCTGCTCACGGTGTGCGTCTGCCTGTTTCCGTGGAGTCGAAAGACACAGGGAGGCACAAGGAGCGACGCGTTGCGGCCACGCCAGCCGGAAATTGTCAAGGTAGCGGGCTCTACCAGTGCTGCTGATCGGAAAAATGGACGCGGATAGAATCTGTAGCGTGTTAATCTGCAGAAATTGCTCTGTTTGTTTCATAACCCAATACGTACCTTGTGCTGCGGTTCTCAGGGTTTGCCGGAAGACTTGAGGCACCAACTGTCGGTCGTTGTCATTGCGCCTCGCGATCTTGCTGACTCAGATGACCAGTGAGTTTCGAACGGTGGTAGTCAACGCGTCCCCTCCTTTCTCCTTAGCAACAAATTCATGAAGCCCACATCTCCCTCTAACCCGTCAACCCACTCTCCCTCTCGACTCATGTTATGCACTGCAACCCATCTCAATTGCCGTCTTATCTTTCCCCAACTTTCAGCGCACCCATTGTCGTTCGTCCGACCCATTCAGCATCCCGCCTGTTGATTGCTCGATGATCCCACAGGTGTCCCATCTGCCTGACGGACTACGAGGTGCATGACGTGCAGCAACGGCTACCATGCGGGCATCACTTTCACCAGCCGTGCCTCGACGCGTGGTTCACCTCACACACCACCTGCCCCGTTTGCCGTGTGCAACTCACTCTGCAACCTGATAACCCGGAGAAGGACCAGCAGGGCGCAGGCGCAAGTGCGGTAGGTGTAGCAGTGCCAGGCAGTATCACTTAAATGGAACGTCTGAAGTGGAGATGAGGTTCAGAGAATATTTATGGCGGATGGGCATGGAGAGTTTATGCAGCAGGGAGTGGAACGCACTTGGTTGACCCAGCTTCATACTGCTTTCAGCGGCTATCGGACAGAAGGTGGTAAATAAAGTTGTTTGTGAGGAATGGGTCTTTCATCAGCTTAGGCAATGTACATTAGGATGTATATATGGAAGCAGCAGCAGCAGCACCCAACCTGGCAGTATTTATTATGACGATGTACGGTACGTACCTACCAATGCCCTGAATTTGTGTTCGACACCTGCTCTACTTGTGGCAATACTGTAATCTGCTTGGGGAATGCGATCCGGTGCACCTCATTTCTTCTAAACAATGGAACATGAGCTGAGCACCTTCCACAAGTGTTTCAACCAGAATGACCAGATTGTTACCATACGGTAATGTACGGTACGGTACATGGACAGATTTGACATTTAATATCCTTCCCAAGACCTTTCTGAAGGACATGTACCGTATGTGGGGCATTTTTTTAGTTTGAAACATCAAAATCATTAAGCCAGTAACATTTATAGTACCCCATTTACACGTATTGAACTAGAAACATTAAGGTGAATCCCACCGTGAACATTACCGATCCCAAACCCATTTTATACTTCTGACCCATTTAGCGAAGCAGCCAAACCTCCACCTGCCCCCAAAGCCCATTCTAGTGCATAAGCACTTCACCATCACCACATTGCTCGGCTCCTCGCTCCCACCCATTGTCAGTAGCCCACAAAAACGACCTAGACATACTGAAATAGCGCCATGACCGGAGAAGGAGAGAACAAGGAAGTCGAAGCAGCTGCGCCAGCGGTCGAAGCCACCAGCGCAGCGGCTGTCGAGGCGGAGAAACCGGCGGAGACGCCCAAGGAGCCCGAGACCACTGGCGGTGATTCCGCGCCAGCTGGGGAGGATGCCGCGCCGGCTGGGGAGGATGCCGGGAGTAAAAAGCGCAAAGCTGAAGGGGAGGCGGGGGAGGAAGAGGGTGATGCCAAGGAAACCGAAGGGGTGAAGCCGAGCGAAGCAGGAGCCAGCGGGGACGGCGGCGATGCGCAAGGGAAGAAGAAGAGCGGGCCTGTGGTGCTGGGACCGCAGACATTCGCCACCGGGCTTCAGATGTTCAACTTCTTTCTCGACCTTCTTCGCGGCTGGCCTGTCAACCTGGATATCAACCAGGTGAGCCAGGGCTTCCAGGACGCAAACCACGTCGTCGCGTTGGGTCTATATTAACGCGCTTACGCAAACGGGCATTTCAGACGGCGTAAACCCTAGTTCACGTTCAGGTCTTGGGCTTTCTCAGGGTTTTGTTTTTAGATTCTGGTTGATTCATTCCAATGAACCTCTTCGTGGGGTCTGATCGCTTTCCGCCTAGGGCAAACTTGCATGATATGAACATGGTTTTTGAACACCGAAGGCCCACCATGTACCTCAGGAGTTTTAACAATCCCCGCTCTCCCGACCCTCTCTTCCCCCCCCCCTCCACCCCTTCCCCCCCCCTCCCTTCCCTCTTCCACCACTCCCCAACCCCCCCCATCTTCTCCCTCCCTTCCCCCCCTCCCCCCCACCCTCCTCCCCCCTTCCCTCTTAACCCTTTTTGCCCCTCCCCCGCTCTTCAGTACGAGCACATGGTGCTTCTAGACCTGCTAAAGAAGGGCCACAGCGACCCCACGTCCAAGGTTGGAGCGGGCATCCGTTCCTTCCAGATCCGCCCGCACCCCGAGTTCCACTCGCGCTGCTTCTTCCTCGTGCGCTCCGACGGCACCGTGGACGACTTCAGCTACCGCAAGTGCGTCGAAACCCTCATGGGCCTGCCGCAGGAGTTCACGCTCAGTGCTGCTAAGGAGTGGGACGGCAATGGGGAAGGGCATGGTGGAGGTGGCGGTGGTGGTGGGTGGAGAGGGAGAGGCAGGGGAAGAGGTGGAGGTGGCCGTGGACGGCCTTTTAAGAGGGGACGGGGGAGATGGTAGCTGTGCTGAGAAGAATGTCATTGTCCGTGTGAGGTGGATATTGTGTTAGCGGCTTAGTGGCAGTGCAATGTTGTAGTGCATGTGATTAGATAAGTGAAAGTTGGCATTGAGATGTACTACGTTTTGCATGGAGATGTACTACGTTTGCAAAAAGAGCTGGAGACCACCACAGTACTGTTTTCTTTTGTGCATCATAACATTCAATTCCAAAGATGCATTGTGTAGACTGTAGCGAGTCTCATTTAGAACCCCTAACCAGACGGCCACTACCGACTATGTTGCCGAACACCCTTCGCCCACCAGAATCCATTCCACTCCATCCAGTCACCGAGAGTTGTTTGATGCCTGGTTGTAAATGATAGCCGGAATGGTCCCTGTCATGCGCTGTTTGCGGGGAGTGGCGGCGTGGCCCGTGGTGGGAGTTCGAGTGTCCTCAGTCATGTCGGTAGTTCGCGGGCTTGGGACGAACAGCGGAGACGATGGTGACAGCGACTCGTTTGCTGCTGCACACACGGATATTAGCCGTGCTAATGCGTGGAAGGAGTTCCAAGCTTTGCTAGTTTGCCCTCTTTCGAATGAACCGCTGAGGCAAGCCGTTTGAGAGTGTGCCTTGAATTCCCAAGTGCGCTGTTTCGTTCACGCTACTTTGTACCAAACATCCTCCTATCCATAGCGTTCCAAGGTAGATATGTTCTGTCTGATGTGTTACCGTCACGTCCCTTGCTTATGGATGATTCTGTGCTGCGTGACGATATGCTCTGTCTCACGAGGTCTCAGGTTCGACAGCACGACATCTGAATACATTAGCGACTCAATTGGTGTAGCGTATCCTGTAAGTTAACTACTCTTTGGTGTCCTCTTCTCCATCTCCCCATGCCATTGTTCTTTATGCTATAAGCAGTACTTAATGCATGCGACTTTCCTCTCTCACATGGCACAGGTTGTGAATGGGATTCCCTTCCTTTCTCCACACCATGGAAGAATAATTGCAGAGTCTTCTCATTCCTCCGTGGGCACCCAACAATGAGCTAACTGACTCCTGGCTGTTAGTTGCCCTATGTCACTAAGGGTGCACTGGTACCGGTTGGATTCATCTGACCAGCATTTGAACATTTCTGTGCTGTCTGATTTTTCTGACAAAAATATGGATGCATTTCTTTATACCGTCTAACCCCGGATATAAGCGCCATGGCGCTTATAATAAAACATGGTTTTTTTGGGGTGGCGCTTGTAATTGAATAACGGCCATAAGCGCCGGCGCTTATATCATGGCAAAAATGAAATTGTATTTTTTTTTGTATCAAATCGAAGCCCGTAATAAGGCGAACAAGATTGTGTAACGTGCGCGTGGCATCATGCATGAAAACCCGCCGAAAACTGCCGCGCTTCGGTTTAGGGCCGCACAAAGCCCGTCCAGGAGCAGCGCACCTGCCAGCGCTGACGTGAAAGATGCCTTGCGGCCCAATCAGGCTTTCATGCGCTGGGTGGCAGCTGCAATTCACCCGAACCATCTAGAAGCGGCTGGAATGCCCTGCCAGCGCAGCATCGTGCGTGGCGCGATACCCTCCTCTCCGGGTTCAGACAGGGGACACCCGTCTCTCCACGACGAGGACCCCGTGGCGCTAGCCAGAAGGGGTCCCTTTGAATCCTTCATTTGTTCATCCTTTCATTCAGTTTCCCGTTCTTGATTCTTCATCACTCTCGCCATGCTGCGGAAGCCATGGCGGAATTCAGCGGCACGCACTTCTTGTTCAAGAAAAAGCCTACGCGCAAGCCCGCGTTTAGAGTAGACGCAGACGGGTGGTACTCCCGTGTCCCACCATCACCACCAGAGCCACCACAGCCTCCTGCGCCTCCTGCTCCTCCTTCGCCTCCTGCACCTCCTGAGCCTCCTCTTCCTCCTGTTCCCTTGTCTACTCAGGGTCCTGTGCCTCCGCTACACGCTGGAGCTGAGCCCGTGCTCACGCTGCTGCTCCCATCGGCGTTTGACGAATGGATCTCCGAACCAGAGTCTGACAAGGCGCAAGATGAGGAGGTTGAAGTGGAGTACGTGCCTGGTTCACGGTGGGGACAGCCTGACGATTGCCCGTGGGACGAATCTGCAGTCGGCGCCGACGATGATGTTGCTGAGGAAGCTGACGCTGACGCTGAGGAAGCGAGCGGCGCTTACGCCGGCGAGGGTGGCACGGAGGCGGGCGCCGGGGGAGGCACCGAGGGCGGCTCCGCTGAAGATGTTTTTCCAGAAGGCGTTCCCGGCGACGATGCCGACGACGGCGTGGAGTACTGGTCTCGCGACGGGCTTCCCGAGACCTTGCCGATACCTTCCTATCCCCCGATAAATCGCAAGCGACCCCACCCCTCTACCCAGAACCGTGATGCCCGCCCCCCCTCTCCCAGGCACAAGCTCACCGACCACAAGAGGCAAGGTTACACCGCCGCTGAGAAGTTGAAGTGGGTTGCCAAGCTTGCTTTGGCGGTGTCGGTGTGCCAATTGTCTCGCGAGAGCGGAATCCACCCCAAGTGCCTCACCAACTGGAAGCGGGCGTCTGAAATCCTCAAGGAAATTCATTCCGCTCGGAAGCGCATGCACGGCCGCGGGCGAGCGTCGTGGTACCGGCCTATGGAGTTGAAGGTGTACGAGAAACTTCTCGAGTGGCGCCGCAAGGGAACCGCCGTATCAGTCGGCCGCCTGCAGGAGTGGTCGCGGGAGTACATGAGGCTGCTGTACCCGGACAAGCCGTGGAAAGGAAGCCAGAGGTGGTCGCAGCGCTTTCGGCGTCGTTGGAATCTGAGCGTCCGCATGAAGACCCGGGTTGCCCAGAAAACCGCCGCGCGTAAGAGTTACCCCGTGTACTTTGCCCTCTGATTTTTAAATTGTTGTACTAACACCCGCCATGTGTGTCCGTCCTCCCTTCCACCGCCCTTCAGATGTCGCCGAGCAGTGCCAGAGCTTTTGGAAGTTCGTGCGTGCCAAGCGTCGGGAGCGCGGCATCGACACCGGGTGGATCATCAACGCGGACCAGACGCCGCTCTGGCTGGAGATGCCCGCCACCACCACCGTGGATGAAACCGGTGTTCGCTCGGTACCTATCAGGAGCGCGGGGTATCAGAAGCAGCGTGTGACCGTGATGTTGGCGTGCACGGCGGACGGATTGAAGCTGAAGCCGTGGGTGTACTTCAAGCGCAAGACCGTGCCTAAGGGCAATTTCCCACCCGGTAAGTCAATACGGTAGTCGCACTGCTCGTTAACTGCGCCATGCTTCCGACTGCGAATTCTAACTGGTCGAACATGATTCCTGCAGATGTGGTTGTGGCTGCACAAGAGAACGGGTGGATGGACTCCGCGGGCGTCGTTCGCTGGCTTGACGAGTGCGTCAAGCCTTTCTTGAAGCCCAAGTTCGGCAGACAAGCCAAGAGCTCGATGCTGGTGCTCGACTCTTACCGCGGTCACCTCACCCAGGAAGTGAAGGGCAAGCTCCTGGAGATGAACTGCGTGCCGGCAATCATCCCGTCGGGCTGTACGGCGGAGGTACAGCCGCTGGATGTCTCCATCAACAAGAGCTTTAAAGCGTCGGTCCGCCAGCAGTACCAGAGGTGGTTTGAGGCAGAAGGTCAAGAGCAGCTGACGGCAGCAGGTATGGAATGAGCACGGTTGTGTTTACCCCCCCCCCCCCTCCTCCCCTTGTTTACGGTATCTTTGGTTGTTTCACTAACGGGTTTCCACCGTTCTCCTTTAATGTTTCAGGGAATTTGAAGAAGCCGCCTGCGGAGGTCGTCCTGAGGTGGATATCTCAGGCCTGGAAGTCAGTGCCGGCCGAGCTGATAAAGCGATCCTTCCTCACATGTGGCATCAGCAACGCCCTCGACGGCAGTGAGGACGGCCTCGCCATGGCGCACAGGCGGAGCCAGCTGACAGCGGAAGTAGATGTCGACGATGACATCATCGCTGATGGGTTTTTTGGGAACAACTGCGAGGAGCCTGAATCTGACGATGAGTAGACTTGTTAGGTAGAAGTGATGTTGCTAGACTTGCTGATTCGGGTCACTGATGTTGTAGCTGCTGTCTAGAAGTGTCATGTAAATGATTTCAGTGTAATTGTTTCTTAAAAAACTTATAATAATTCAAGGGTGGCGCTTATAATAAGTACAGAAATCTCAGGGGGGGCGCTTCTAATCGAGGTCCGGCCATAAGCGACATGCTCCAGATAGAGGCGCCGGCGCCTATAATCGGACGGCGCCTATATCCGGGGCGATACGGTAAAGATGATTACCGTACCTTTACTAAGGGAAGATGATTTTAATATTTCAGTGTTCATCATGTTCATGCAGCCCAATCAGTAGATAACTTTTACCGGTAAAAAATGTCTCTGGTTCTAATCTCAGGAAAGCCCGCTAGCCCGCAAATACAGTAAATAATCAACAGGTAATTGTAATAAAACAGCTAAAAAAATATCCAGAACTTCTAATCGAGGACCGGATATATGCACGGTACTCCTATATAAGCGCATGCTCCTGACATAGGCCCGCACCTATATCTGGGAGGAAGCGATGGTACCGTATTGATGCTTTTGAGTGCAGTGTGCATTGTACAGTATTTCTGGGTTTGACTTCTATTCGAGTCTACGCCTTTTCTAGAACAGCATGACGTAGGGGTACGTGTTTTCGTTCGTGGGTGGGAAGTCCCTGGAAATTCACTGAAAGGTGGGTGGTTGGGCGAAACAGCTGAGTGACTCGTGGCAGAACGATGGGGCAGACAGCCATACCTTCTTGCCACGTCATTCGCTACTTGTCGTTTTTCCCTGGAGAACCACGTCGACAGGCAAAATGGGAGCATAGCCGAAGTGCATTCACTTTCGCCATAAGCCTGCCTCTTGCATCAGCACTGGGAGACTTTCGCGTGTCGTGGCAGCAGCGCGACGCGATGCGATCATCATCGGCGAAAGCCATCACTGGACCAAAGGATCCGATCATCCGAGCCATACCACCACCCCTTGAGGAAATACGCACCACCACCAACCATTTCCCAATAACAGTACCCGCACCTCCAGGCCTGGTGCGGCATGTGGTTCGGTGTCTACGATCTGTCGCCATCATTTCGGCTATCTTCGCGAAGCGTCGGTTGAGCAGGTGAGGTGGCGGCTCCAAGCCAGCACACATCATCATAACTAGCTGCAGCAGTAGATCAATGGTCGACGATTCATTTCGAAAGAATGTGGTAACAGCAGGAAAACTGCGGCGACAAACCTCACCACCACCACACCATCTTCTGCAACCTGCCTTTCTGCAAAAACGCACCGACTCCATCCATCCTCCTCCATACATAACGTCCTGTCTTGTGCTTATCTTGCTTTGAGTCTCTTTTCCCCAAGTTGTGCTCCCGTCTCTGCAGCTGCGGGCATTGCCCTTCACAGAGCTGTTTTGACGAGTGCAGGCGGGGAATAGCGGGTAGGCGCCATGGGAGAGGGTATCCGAGACACGGGTCATGATTTGCAAAATGGAGCAGACTCCGCCACTCGCGCTGAGCAGGACGCGATGATAGGTGGGGCGAATGGCGGGGAGACGGGAGGTCCTGACGAGAAGCGGACACAAGGCGGAGCAACGGATAAGGCAACGGAGGGAGGTGGAGAAGACGAGGGTCCCAGCAGCAGTAATGGACCGTCCACTTCAGATAAAGCGCAACGCCATATAGAGGCACGTGCATGCACTTGTATCTCGGTCCGTCGACCTTGTTTGCAGCCGCAACCTTCGCCCCTAGTTCGCCATTCCCTCAGCTAATCTCCTTCGTATTACAAATTTCCGCGTCGAATCTTGCAACACTCTTGTACCGCGGATTGTGTACGT